CAGTAGCCCAATGCCATCATTGCGTTTCTGTGGAGATTCAGTAGGCCGAGATGTACACACTTCTTAGCATAGCACCTGGCGTAGTGACGGCATAGTGAGCGCTCAGTGATTATAGCTGGTGCTCTTGTCGCAGAAAAAATTCCTCCCATTTCAGAGCTTTGGGGCCCGCATCACCTTTAGCTATTGACTGCAGCATGAATCTGGAATGGGCCGCATGCCCAGAGGGGATTCTGGATGGTGGGCGGGGGTGGACATGGAGGAGCTCAGGTCTGTGATGAGCGGGACATTTGGACACTGACTTTACCAGGGATGGTGATGTGACCCTGCACAAGTCACTTATGTCCTCTGATCCACATTTCAAAAGTGTGTGTGTGTGTGTGTCTGTGAGTGAAACTTTCATTATAGGTTTTGGGTAAGTGAATGTAAATCCTGCTTTTGGTGAGGATTGATATAAATACAAATAATGCTCAGAGACGGGCCTGGTGTCCCAGAAACATGCACATTGTGAAACACTTGCTTTGAGGATACCAGCCACGTTGGAAAGAGTTGATGCCTTGGACAGAAGTTGCTCATGTGCAGTTAATTTGAACAATGAAAATAATTGACTGTTTTTCAGGAAAGTTTTACTTTATTTGCGAATTTAGGACTTTTTATTTTCCTTCCAACAATGTGATAGCCTTATTTTTCTGTTGGATTCCTTTGAGCTTAATTTATCAGTAATCTGTAAATGTTTCTGTCAAACAGTCTGCTCCACAGTTGACCTCTCTGCAATTACACATTAATTTCAATGTACAATCCACAATTTCCATGAATTATCTATAATTGTCAGTAATCTATAATCCAGTAGATGATTCTATTCCACTCAGTCTAATGGATAAACATCATGTTACTTTCCAAAAAATTAAAAGAGACCATATGAAAGATTGGATGGATCTCTCTATTTGATAGAAATGAATTACTTTAAATAAAAAACTTAGCCTAGGGGCACCTGGGTGGCTTCATCAGTTAGGCGGCTGACTCTTGATTTCAGCTCAGGTCATGATCTCAGGGTCGTGAGATCAAGCCCCACCTCCAGCTCCATGCTCAGCAGGGAGTCTGCTTGAGATTCCCTCTCTTCCTCTCCCTTTGTCCCTCCCCCTGCTCAAGCTCACGCTCTCTCTCTCTCTCAAATAAGTAAGTCTTTAAGAAAAAAAAAAGATTCTCTCTCTCCCTCTGCCCAACCCCCCCCCACTGCTTATGTGCTCACACACACACTCTCTCAAAAAAAAAAAAAAAAATTTAGCCTATTAGCTGAATCGTGTTTTAGAGGAATTGAAACATTGTGCATGGTATTAGGAAAAGCGATGTCTTCTTATTTTCATGCCTTTTTTTACTTGAAAGACTAGTACAGAATGTCCAACACTTACATATAATTGGTATGATTTCCCATATTTTAAATGGCTCAGGCTGAGAGTTTAAGGAAAGAAGCTTATATGAATGAGTGAGAAGCCATAACCTTCCAGGGTTTCTCCTGGTTGATTATTGACTAAAGCGCAAGCTGGTCTGTCTGAGCTAGGGCTGCAATGCCAAGGGTAAGCATGGTGTGATATCAACACATGCCCTGTACCTGTGGATCTTAACTCTTTTTGGTTATGAGCCTTCGTAAGAATCAGGAGGCAATTATGGACATGCTCCTCTGAAAATGACACTTTCTCCTTTCCACAAAGCTTGACATGGAATTCTGGGGAGTTCGCATGATCTCCTGACTTCCCTCCACCTCTTCCCTCCCCTCACCACAGTTCACTGAACATGGAGGCTTCCTCTCCCCGTGCTTGACCACACTGATTTTTTTCTTTTTAATGACATGAGTTGGATATTTCTGGAAACCAGGAGTTAAAGACTAGTCAGGGAATTTTTATGATACGATGAGAAATATACATATTGGTCTTTGTCCCCGGTCCCTGTCACACAGCTACTACCAGAGTGACAGAAGTGACTTGTATGCTAGTGGGATGACTAGTGGTTGGGGCCCCTACCAGCTTCAGGATGGAGGGCTTGGTTGCCAGAAAAACAAGGGCATGTTTAGAGAGTTGGAGTTTTCAGCTCCACCCCCCCAACCTCCAGGGAAGGGAGAGGGGCTAGAAATTGGGTTAATCACCAATGGCCAGTAATTGAATCAATCATGCCTATGTAATGAAACCTCCATAAAAACCCTTAAATAATAGGCTTGGAAGAGCTTCTGGGTTAGAGAACACATCAAAGTGCTGGAAAGGTAGAACGCCTGAAGGGAGCATGGAAGCTCCAAGCTCCTTCCCCTTAACATTCACTGTGCCTCTCTTCCATCTGACCGTGCCCGAGTTGTATCCCTTGTAATGAACTGGCAATAGGAGGGAAAATTCTGTGGCAAAGGAGGTAGTTTCCTGAGTTCTGTGAGCTGTTCTAGCAAATTACTGAACCTGAGGAAGGCGTCACAGGAACCCTCAGTTGGGAGCCGATCTGTCAGGAGAGCAGGTGGCCATCTGGGACTTGCAACTGACATTTGAAATGGGCCTGAACCCTTAAACTGCGGGGTCTGCGCTAATGCTGTGTAGTTAGTGTCAAAATTGAACTGAATTGTAGGACACTCAGTTGGTGCCCAGAGAATTAGAGAATCGATTGGTGTGGGGAAAAGACCCACACATTCAGTGTCAGATGTGTTGTAGGTAAAGGCAGTTCAGAATTTTGCCCTCCCTTTAAGAGTAATTATAATATAATGTTCCACAGTAATTAAGGGTACAAGTTCAAGTACTCACATGCCACCTGGCTGTGTCTGCTACAGTCAGGCTCCTTTGGATGTCCCTATATACTTTAGATACATTCCATTTTAGTTTAAGCTTGTTTGGATCTACCTCTACTCCCTAAAAACAATTTCTCCCTGTCAAAATCAACAAGCCTCTCCTCACTTCACACCCACTAGGATCAATCAAGAAGGGTAATAACGAGCATTGTTGAGGATGCGGAAAAATCGCAACCCTCTTACACTGCTGGGAAGAGCGTCAAATGGTGGGGTCACGCTGGAGAACAGCCTGGCAGTTCCTCGAAGGGTTAAACACAGAGTTGCCAACTCTATGGCAACAATTCTACTCCCAGATATATATCCAAGAGAAATGAAAATGTATGTCTACACAAAAATTCATAAAACTAGCAGCATTATTCATAATAGCCAAAATGTGAAAATAACCCGAATGCCCATCAACTGATGAACGCAACTATAAAATGTGGTATATTCATACAGTGAATATTAGTCAGCAGTGAAAAGAAATGAAGTAGTGATGTATACTACAACTTGGATGAACCTTGAAAACATTATGCTAAGTAAAAGAAGCCAGTCCCAAAAGATCCTATGTCCTATGGGTCCATTTATATGAAATGTCCAGAAATGGTAAATCCATAGAGACAGAAAGCAGATTGGTGGTGCCAGGGACAAGGAGGAGGATGGAAAAAGGGAGTGACAAGTTCACAAGTATGGAGTTTCTTATTGAGGTGATAAAAATATTATAAAATGGATTGTGGTGATGGTCATACAACTATGTGAATATACTAATAGCTATTGGACTGTACACTTTAACCGTACGGTATTTAATTTGTATGGTATATGAATTACATCTCAATAAAGCTGTTCCCAAAAAAGAATACAGGCTCCCAAAAAAGGATCCAGGCTGTGTGTGTTTGAACACCTGTGGAAGTTCTGGTGTCCAGTGACAGGGATTTGGATGCAAGTATTGTATTTGGAAAGATATTTCGGGCAGCATAGTCAGGAAATAGGGAAGTGGGCCAGGGAAGGAAGGAAAGCCAATAAAGGGACATTAGTGAGTGAGTTATCTTTGTGGGCAACTGGGGCTCCATCCTTCTGGGACTGAGCAAAGGCTTTGGAGACCACAGTTTGGAATTGTTCCCCCAGGGAATGAGAAATCTGGGTTGTTCCAATGAATGCTGACTTCCTAGGATTTCCAGCCTGCCCCACACAAAGGCCAAGCATGCTTCTACAACCAGAGGAAGCCCACAGACAAGAAGAGAGACAGAGACAGAAACACAGAGGCAAATAGAAAGATAGGCATGCAGGTACTTGAGGTAGGAAGCAGAGTACACAAGAACTGTTCCGCAAACCTACAGTGATGTCCAGGGTGACTGAGCAGATATGGGCAGAGCACTGCCAGGGTCTGCTCACAGGCGTATTACCCAACCACTCTGTACCTTGCTTCCTGCATCCTTAAAATGGGGAAGATAATAGCTCCTATCTCAAAAGGGTGCCCTGCGGATGAATGAGTTAACGTATCTGAGTATTTGAGACCGCCAAAAAACTTATCTTGGAACTTTGTTTTTTAAACTTCTGACTTACCCATGATCATTTCTCTTTTGAATAGGCTTCTAACAAGATAGAGAAGAAATCCAGCTATTATAAGTGTCAAAGAAAAATAGAATCATTGCCGAGAATAGTCTTCTTATTAGGTCCTCTTTGTGTGTTACCAGCTTTGAATGGCTGCCTTTTGAAAGGCACCATATGCTTTGTGAGAACATTAGACAGATGCCCATCCCAGTAAGATCTGTTCCCGGAGCAGTTCTATCATCTCTCAGTCTTGGTCTTCTATTTCCCGGAAACTGTTGGTAGGATTCGAGCAAGAGAGGTTCATCACAGCACTCTCTGGTACTTTTCTTTGTGTCTCTCTCTATTTTCCCACAGCTATGTTCTGAGGATAGCAGACCCTGGGGAGCTTTCTTTCTGTGAAGCTTCTATAGTGTGGGGACTGAAGCCAGTGGCTGCCATCCCAGGCAATTCTGAGTTCTACTTCTGTCAAAGGCATTTACACTTGGTATGTTTCATTGCTCGTGGAGGATTAAAACCACCCAGTTGGGGAACAACAGGGGCAAAATAGGGTTAAAAAAAAAAAAATCCAACTGCGTTACATCGAGCTCAAGCCGTCATGATTAAAGCCTAATTTAAGGATGTGTTCACTCAAGAAAATCTCTCTGGATTGTTTCAGGCTGTGACTCTTCAATTAAGCTGACGTTTCACAAATCCAAAATTGCTGCAGATGAGCTCTTCGCCTCGCTTCGGGATATCGCTGGAGCTCGGAATCTCATGAAACAGTTTAAGTCTGTATATGTTCCTGGAAATCATACCCACCAGGCAAGTACATATGTTTTAAAGTAACCATCTAATCTGTGTTGTATTTTTAGGATTCAGAGACCGCAAAAGGCAATTTCCATCTTAGCCTCTCTAAAACGAAGGATTTGTTCTAGATGAACTCCAAGCACCCTTCCAGTTCAGAGTTCTGGGTTCCCCTGAATGTGAAAGCCTCTTGATTCATTTGCACTTATAGGCTTGATACAGGGAGATGAGCACCGGATTGGGGGCCAGCCATGCTCTACAGCTGTCACATGTTCGGTAACCTTAGGCAAAAGTCCCTTTACTTCGTTGGGCCCTAGTTACTATGGGTGCAGGGGAGGGGCTGTGGCCTTCTGTGATTCCCAAGCTTCTAGATCGAAGCACTCCCTAAACATTCTGAACAATAGAACAAAATTACCTAATAATACTATGGCAAGGAAAAAAGAAGTTTGTGACAACAAAACCTTTGTTATTTAACATTCCCCCACCACTTCCTAAGGGCAGTGCGGGAACTTCAGAAGGGTGTTTTGAACAGTGAGTAGAAAGATGGTATGAGAATCCAAGATTACAAGCTCAGTGAGGGAGGGACCCCAGAGAGACCCAAAGGGAAGCTTAAGGAGTGAAGAGAGGCTGGAGTCATTGAGGCTGGGCAGTCTCTGTTGGACAAGGATGGAGACACAACTAAGGTTCCTGGTGGCCAAAGATAGCTTTGAAGGAAGAACAGATGTTTCTGACGGGAAAAATCATTCGTGGAGTGTGTGCAAGCATCTTCTCCTTCATCTCCCCATGAAATCTCAGTAAAATCCACTCTGTTTGCTACGGCTGCTTGGGGAGCTGAATGTGCTGTTAGTGGGGACTCTGCCCTAGTGAGGGGTTCAGCGTCAGGTTGCTGACCCTTTAAGGTGGGCATATAGACGAGAGCTAAGGTTATCTGCGATAGTAGCCTAGCCAGATCCAGACTCTTCCTCCCGTATATTCTTACAGTAGCTGATACTTGAAGAGTGCTCCCCCATTGGGCTTGTCCTTTGATCCTCACAAGAAGTAAGCCAGGAAGGCCACGTGACTTGCCACAGACCCACAGGTGGCCAAGGCCAGATGCCAGGTTTTTGCTGCCACTGCGAAACTTCCTCCCCGCTATACCATGGATTTCATGGAGGCTCTAGAAGTACTGATTGATGGTGCTGATGGGCATCTGAAATCACCCACCAACATATGAAAGAAGCTTTGGAAGCTGGCTCTCAACTTAGTAACATAAATTCCCATCCTTTGTTCAATGACCTGAGAACGCCACCACCACGAAATACAGATAAAGTCACTCAGATCATTCATCGAATGTAGTTTGGCCATTAAAGAAATCACCAGTCTTAAATACAGCAGTATGGACTAAGTCTAGAAGACATAGAACTGGTGATTTATGATGAGATTTAGACCAAAGAATGTCAAGAAGCAAGTGGCTGCTATAGTTGGCAAAATGCAAAGAAACCACTAAGTTAATAAGCTCTTTTCAGTTTTATGATTATCATTGTGACCAATTTAGCCAAATTCACATAAACATGCATTAGCCATAAATCTTGGGCATAATTAGGACAGTGATAAATTTCCTAGACTTAATCTCCCTGCTGCCAACACTGTCATTTCTCCAGACCTCGGAACCCTGTCCTGCAGCCATTGCCTTCAGAAAATGAACTTTTCCTTTGTTGTATATACTCTCTTACAGTGAGTCAATGACATCGACCCATTAACTGAAAATCCTAAATGCCAGTGAGCAGGAAGTAGGGGCAAGGTGGGGAGTATGTGTGTATCTGAAGGGGATTTAGTAAATAATGATACAGACACTTGCTCTGAAATGTTGTGCAGCCATTAAAATGAATGAGACAACTCCAAGCGTGCTTAGCAGGACTCTATGTGAATCCTTGGCTCAGGCTCTGCTTCTTGGAGAACTCAGACTAAAACAGAGGTTTATGATCTGTTAGGTGGAAAAAAGAAATGTAGATCATTCTGTCAAGCATTTTTCTATTTTTGTTTGGAAAATAAAAAAAAAACATATGGGTATGTATATTTAATAAGTCTTTAAAAATTAAGGAAAACTTTATAATGGCTGCCTTGTAGGGGGTGTGCAGGGTTGGATGGACAAGGAGGAACTCTGACTTCCTGCTTTATGTGGCTAGAGAAAGAGTTTTTGATGGGATTATCAGTGATTTTTACCTGTTTGGGTTTTTTGATAATTTTTGAATTTAAAGTTTTCAATCGTAGATGTAAGCCCAGTGAGGACAGGAATTTTGATCTGGTTTATTCACTGCCATATCCTCAGTGTGTAGAGTGGCATTTTCTATATAGTGCATGCTTAATGAATATTTGTTGGGGGCATCTTGAATGCAATACATATATTTTTATTATATATCGGAGAATTTGAGGGCATGCAAAGTATGTATAATGAGAAAAAAGCAAATGTCGAGACTAGATTCAGAGTCCAACTGTGGGCCTTGACTGGGCAACTTTCTGTCCATCTCTTCTCCCAACTTGGTCCTCAGCCCTGAGGCTCTGGCGGGGCATGAAGGTGGGGGGCTCGGAGAGTGTGCTTTCTATCTAGCTCCGTGCTGTTTCTACACAGCGTCTAGTTGAGATGTTCTGGGCTCGCTGCGATACCCAGGAAAGCACTAGACGTGGTCCAGCTCCAGATTCCTGTTCCAGCTCTGACCAGTGCTACAAATTTAGGCTCTCTCCCCTGGATCCTGGGGCCCCTACCTGCCCCATGTGCCCTTCTGGCACCCCTCTCTCCTACTCCGGAGCACAGGCTGCCTCTCAGAACCACTCCTTTCACCCATGCTAGCACTTGAGGCACCTCTTCTTTAACCTCCATCCTTTAGCCGTTTGAGAAAGTGTGTCAGCCACAGCCCAGAAAGCAAACATCACTCTCTTCATGTCAAGGAGAACATGATTTCATACAAGACATTGAGTACATATAAAGTCTCTGGAAGAGCTGGAGGGGTGGGATCTAGACTGCTTCTCCAGAAATGATCCCAAAAAATCACCACACACCTGGCCCTCCAAGGGAAACAGCCCTACTGCAGCCAGGAGAGTGGGCATGATGGGGATCATGAGGCCACCACTGAAGCTCTTGACTTGCAGAACATACTACCAATGCCGGACACGGCATCCATGTTTGTTCACCATGGTGTATCTGCAGAGCCTAGCTCAGTGCTTGCCTCCTAGTGGGTGGGTGGGCAGGTGAATGGATGGATGGATGGATGGATGCATGGATGGATGGATGGATGCATGAAAGGATTCTGGACTGTGAGTCTTATCCACAGTGGCATTTCTTATGCTCTTAATTAGTGAGACAGAGGTTAGCAGCAGCATGTGGGTTCATAGCCCAGCATAGCAGCATTGAGTTCATAGGTCCAGAGCCCTACCAACTGTGTGGCCTTAAGCAGGTGACTTCACCTCTCTGTGCCTAGTTCCTCCACTGTACGAAGGAGCTAATAATAATAATACCTCCCTCATAAAGATGCTCAAAGACAGGTGAGTTGATACATGCAAAGGACAGGAGCTGACAAAGACAGCACTATGTAAGCATTTGCTGTAACAGTTGCAGTGAAGAGCAAAATAGGCCTCTTTTGTAGCATTTCACCTTTTCCTTTGCTAGGAGATGGGCCTCATAGAAGGGGGGTCATTCTCAAGCGACGGAACTATTGGTAAGGGCTTATTACTGACGCCCGTTGGTTTGGAAAGGTTGTGTTTGTTCATAGACTGTTGAGTGGAAACCTGAGCCCCCAGTTTTGCCTGTGCAGCAAGTCTTCTTATGCTCTTGTTTCTTGCTGTGAATGTTCTAGTTTAATGGGAGGCGTAACCTCCTCCCTAAACGCCACAGTGTTTGATGTGCCGCTCTTCCTCAGCGGCAGCATCAGGAGGCTATTAGGCCAATGTCTCAGGGCAAAGAGCTTCTGTGCCCTTTCAGAAAAAATACTGTATGACTCTTGCCTGACTTGCTTTGGCAGAAGTCTCAAAGTGCTGGGCTGGAGAAAACTTTCCACAGATGCGTACTGTCTTTTGTGCCTCTGGCAGGCTCAACAAGAGTATTTGGAACCAGCGGTGCCCAAGGAGGCCTAATTCATCTGGTGCCTGGTGAAATATGGCTCTCTGAACAGTCTGTAGGTCCCATCTCTTTGTCAACAATCCCCAGCCCTGGCTGTTCTTTTCCAAGTGCTGAGCTCTCTTCTTCTTCTTCCTCCTGATTCTATCTTCCTCACTCCAGACCTGCTAGTGCCCTTTTGGAAAGAAGCAACACAAGATGGGACTGAACTGGAGACTAACCAGGAGACTTGGCTCTGTCCTGTAGTCCACTTCTAACTGCCTGTGTGAATCTCAAGCAAATTAGTAAATTGCTTTGGGCTTAGGTTTTTTTTCATACTGAAGTTGAAGGGACTACACTCAAAATTTTACAAAGTAATCTGCTTCTGGTTTGAAGGAAGGATGGCTGGATGGATGGATAGATGGATGAACAGATAGGCAAATGAACCACTTTTTAATCTGCAGAGCAAACCATTTCCTTTAAGAAGATGAAAGGGGAAAAAAACCCGTGATAGTAAAGCAAAAAATAAAAATAAATGAGCCATGGAACAGCCAAAGCCATCAGCAGTTTTGAACAGATGTTTTTCTGTACAGTCATGGATTGAGACAAAATGAATACTCTCTCTACAAGAGTATTAGAATCAATTTTGCAGAGAAGGAATAAGCATCTTCAGTAATAGGACTGAGATGGCCCATGGCTGCACCAACACCAGTCAACAAAGCCAAGGGCAGCAACGCTGAGTGATGGGGGCGTAGGTCAGGTTTTCTTGGAAACTGATTATCTAGGACCATCTTAAAGGTGCGCCAAATTCAGGAAGATGTTGGAGTTTAGACTGGTTTCTAGAAATTGTCTCTGACTTATGTATAATGTCAGAAACTACTGCTATACTCAATGGCTTTGTTCAAGAGCTAGAATCAGGTCAATAAAAGAATGTTCTAGACCTCCTCAC